CATTATTTATCTAATTATTTATTTTTTCTATTTCTCTTCCATTTATAAGAAAAATACATTAGTATTGTTGTAAGAATAAAGAATATTTATATATATATATATATGGGATTTAAAAGATATATATACTAAAATATAGTATTTTTTTAAAAATTATAAAAATTTAAAATTTAAAAATCGTTGTTAACAATTTATAATATATATACTATAGAATAATGAAAAGTTAATGAGTTTTAAAAATTGTTACTATCGATTTTTAAAAAAAATATATGAAAAAATAAAAAATTGTCGAGTGGCAATCTTTTTTAAAAAAATTGATTGAAAAATCGTTAATTAAAAAAATTTATATTTTTATAATTTTTTTTAAATATCATATTTTGATAATTATTTTCGTATAAAAAAAAGATTCCAAGAATAACACTTTTCAAATTAATTTTTAATTTAAATAAAACTTACGATAATTTTAATTTTTTTATTCTACAATGACATGATTGTAAAAGTATACGTCTCTTCTTTTTAATCTATCCTAGCTTTAAGTTGTTGCATCAAGTACAACCACTAGTTATTATAGAAGTAGCTAATGTTTACTTGGTTTAAAAATATATATATATTTTTTTTATGTTTAAATTAGAAATATCTTTTAGTGTTTGTTTGACTTACAAAATTGAGTATAAAATTAAACATTAAAATTAAAATTGAGTTTTAAAATTTTAATTATTATATTTAGATGTTTATTTGAAACTATAATTCTATAGAGCAATTTTATGAAATGACATATAAATTTAGTTTACTTATTTCAACATGTACTTAGAAAATTTTTAACACTGTGTCTCCTCATCATCTTCGTAGTTTTTTATTTTTGTGATTTTTTTCTTTTCTATATACTTTTTGTTTAAGTATTTTCTTTCTTTTCTCTATTTCTTTGTTCTTTACTTTACTTGTGTACCTCTTTTTCTTTTTTTCTTTTTTTTTTCTCTTTTCCTTTTTAACCTCACTTTTACATTCATTATTAATATAACTTTTTATGTTTTTTTATTTTTTTTATTTTCTTTTTTTCCATTTTACATTAATTATTGATAAAAGTGATTTTTTTCTTTTCTTTTTCTTTTATTTTTTCTATTCTTCTTTTACGTCTTCTACTATTTTTCTCATTTTTTACATTTATTTTTTATTATTATTCTTTTACATCTTCTTTTTTCTTTTTATTTTTTTACATTTGTTACATATTTATTATGTTTATATTACTACAAACTATATTGTATTGCTATTCTTCACTTTCTACATTTGCCGCAAATTATATTATTTATGTTAATTGTATAATAAATCAATACTAAATGCAACAGAGTGATAAAAATATAATAAAAAATATATTTTTGAGCCATGATTATATTTGTGAATATTTATATACTTTAATCTAATTTATAAAAAAGACAATTCATGATAATATTAAATTTTAATGATAAATTAAACATAAAAAATAAATTTACTATATCATAATTTAAAAAAAAATATTTAATTATTATTTAATTATATCATCTTTAATAATTTATTTAATAATTAATTTTTATTTCTAATTAACATATTATTTAAAAATAAATTAAATTATTTTTTAGAAATTTATATCTTACGTCACACTATAAAATTTGATTTTAATTTAGAATTTTAATTCTACATTCTAATTCTTTTTTGTCAAATGTAAAATTACAATTTTGAACAAATTGTAATTCTAATAAAATTAAAATTAGAATTAGAATTCTGAACATCAATTTTAATTTCATACACTAAGCAAGCCCTAAGTTAAAATAATTATGTTTAAGTAAGAATTATTACCAAAAATAAACCTATTCTTTCAAATATTTTTTTATTTTAGATAATTTTATTTTATCTTTATTTTAAAGAAATAATTATTACACTAATTACTTGTAATTACTCAATTATCTATACATCTATGGGTGCTAAAGAAATTATCATAGTTTGAATTTTGAACACCTAAAAATAATCTTCAATGGAATGCTAATAGCTTCCCTCTCTCTGTCATCTTCATTTCCTTGACAGGACAATGGTATAAAAGCATGTGTTTTTCAAATTTTAAGACTGGAAAAGAGGCTTTTGAGATCTGAATCGTAGTTCCTCCTAAATCCATAGGGACATTCTTGGTGGCATCAGTAATTGAAAGCAAGGGGAAAATAAGAAAGACTCAACGCATGTTTATATAACTAAATATGTGCTTAAATAGTTATTTAAATATATATTTAACTTACTGTTATTAATTATAATTTTTATGTTAAATTTATTTTAAATTTTTAGCTTGAGTACAACTTATGATCAATTTTAACTTTTTATTTTTCAATGATATGATTGTAACATTGTAGCTTTGGAAGTTTCTTCTTTCTGATCTATCATGCCTTTCAGCTATTGTATTAGCCACAACCTCTAGTTGCCGTAGAAATGGTAGTGGTCACTCTAGGCGGATATGATGTGAACTTTTCACTGACACTTACATATATAATGTTTATTTGGTTTAAAAAATATATTGTTTTTAACTTCTTTTTTCTATTTAAATCATATGTATTTTTAGTTGAGATAATTATATTTGAGTCGGGATTATTACATACAATAAAACTTTCTTTTTGAGTATTTTTTATTTTAAATAAATAATTATTACATTAATTACTTGCAATTACTCAATTATCTATTTATTTAATGCATGGTTAAGAGATTATCATAGTTTGAATTTTGAACGCCTAAAGATAATCTTCAATGGAAATGCTGATAGCTTCTCCTTCTCTGTTATCTTCATTTCCTTGCCAAGACAAAAGCATGTGTTTTTCAAATTTTAAGAACGAAAAAGAGGCTTTTGAGATCTGAGTCGTGGTTCTTCCTAAGTCCATTGGTGCGTTCTTGATTAGCAAGGTGAAAATAAAAAAGACTCAGAGCATGTTTATATAACTATGCATATGCTTAAATTGTCATAGATTTATATTTAATTTATTGTCATTAATTATAATTTTTATGTTAAATTTATTTTTATAAGTTTTTTAATGTGTTTAAAATTGCAAATCGAGTGACACACACTCAATAAAGGTCAAAATAATAAAAATAAATTAAATCTTAAAATAAATATAAAAGAAAAAATTGTAAAATTTGTCTTTTTTAGTGAAAATAATGAGCGAAAAAATTACAAAAGATGAGAAATCTTTGTACTAGGTCAAGCAACAAAATATAATAATAAATTTGATATTACGACTTGTTTAAATAATTTAAAGCCATGATTTATAATTTATTTATTTATTTACATATTTTTCACCAAACTCATCCATCACTTTCTAATTTAGCCTTGATCTTTCAATACTTTTTCTCTTTTGATAGTTTCTACATTGATATAACTAAGAAACGTTTTATGGGTATCCATGAAGTCATAGATCAATAATCAAGATTTATTCTTAAAATAAATATATCTTTTTTCTTTGAAAAATATATAATGCAGTTTGGATTTATGCTTTTATTCGGATTGATCTTTTAAACTTTTGATAAAAGAAAAATCTCTCAACCTGCATGTCTTTTATGGTGTAAATTAACATTAACTGAAGAACTTATATACATTCATAAAATGACAGATTATTTTTATAACAAAACTTCTATAATAATATTTTTCTCTCTATGTTTGAAATAATATGAGCGACAAAAATTACAGTATATTTGATATCACGACTTAATTAAATAATTTAAAGCGCTTTTAATTTATGAGTTCTTTTTATTTACATAGTTCTCACCTCACTCATCCATAACTATTTAATTTAGCCTTAAACTTTCAATACTTTCTCTCTCTTTTAATAGTTCTACATCGACATAACTAAGAAATGTTGTATGGGTATCCATGAACTCTCAGATCAATAATCAAGTCTTAGTAAATTCGAATGTTTAACTCATTTGCAAATTGTAACTAATATGAAACTTACTCGTTACTAGTACTTATTTTTCAATTGTTGATAAAGAAATCACTACCTAGAATTGATCTCGATGTCAATTAAATCTTTCAAAAACGTAAATTCATCAAATTCATTACTGAATCTTCATAAGAACAAAGAATGAGAAAACCATTTGAATATAATCTTCGTAATTTGATGATGAACTGAAATCTTCGTAAATTTGCTGTCATAAATAATTGGCACTTTGATTTTGTCACAGTTGCTTAGAGTTAATTTATAGACGAGTTTTTCTTCTCCAAAGTACATAATAAAAAAAATGCATGTGTTTTTTTCCCTATGCCGAAAGGGAAAAAATATAATAGACAGAGGCCACGTCAACAGAAACAAGAGAAGAAAATAAAAAGAAAACAAACTAGAGAGCACTGCAACAGGCAGAGACAATGACTTTGATCCCAACTTATATTCCCAGTTAGTTACTATTTTGTGACAGCTCACATTAGATTCAAGATTCAAGGATTCAAGAAAGAACATGTAATTTATCGGTGAACATTAATATCACACATATTTAATGAAAGAAAATTAAAATAAATGCACATGTAGGTTGTCAAAACAATCCACCAATCTCCAGCTATTTACCAAAACACCACCTCATAATCATAAAACGAAGTAAAAAAATTTCAAAGCGATCTGCATTAATTTCCCTTCAAGAATAAGACTAGTGGTTAGGGAAATCAATGTTGATAAATGGAGCCTAGCCAACTCACTTGATCTTTTTGGCACATGGAGCTATAAATATAAACGAAAAGTAAAATTTCAACCGATAAAGACAATTTTCTTTTGGTGTCAAGAGTCAAATACTCAAATGCAAGAAGCAAATAATTTGTACATCAAATAGCCAAATCCTACAATATTCTACGAATTAGAAGAGAAGAATAGAAATTGACAAGAAAATCCTAACACAAATTCACTTACTTATCCCACCCCAATGAAGAAGAGAAAAAGAAAATGACCTTTCTTTTAATCCCCCACCTTGTCATCAAGGCAAGGAAAACCAAAAGAAAGAAAGGAATAGGTCCACTCCTCTACAAACTCAACACTTCACTGCCATGACTTATGTGCCAATCTCCAAATCTCTGCAACTTGACCCTCCTTCATTCAACAGCTCCTGGATTACACCAAAAAGAAAAACAAAATATTCAATAATTAATCAGACAAACACCTAGCTAGCTAGTGATTTGATAAAAGAAAAGGCAAAATAAATAAATAAAAGTGATTTATATAAGACCTGAGAAGAAGTAACATTAATTGGAGCTCCCTCATTGACCAATGCAGACCTTCTTGGTTCAACACCCCTATCAGAAGAACCTTCACTCTTCTCAACCTTCTTAGAACCAATGTGGCTCTTTCTGAGACCAAGAAGACCCTTCCACCTTGTTGAGGACCCTTTCGGTGGCCTTAGAGAAAAATCCTCATAATATTCATCATCGTTTATAAGGAGTTCTTGCTTGAGAGTGGTGGTGGCCCTCTGAACCTGGTTGTTGCAATTGTCCTTGTACGGCAACAACCTACCCTTGAAGAAAAGCTCATCAGCACTCATCATAGAGTAGTTTGTGACTGAGAATTCAAAGTCTGAGGACACTGGCGCGTCTGATCTGGAGCCTCTTTGCTCTTGCTTCATGGCTTGTTGCACATCCACAAAATCATTTGAGAAAGAGATTCTGGGGCTCATTGGAGCGCAGTGATGATGGTAGTGGTGATGACGACCCTTTTGCTCGGAGTTGTACATGTCTAAGCATGCCATGAGATTTCAGAACAACATCTAAATTAAAAAGAAAACAAAATGGATGTGGGAGAAGTAGAAACAATAAATTCTACTTGGGTTGGGACCCCCTCCCTCACACTGTTACAACCCCACTTACAGCAGATGTTTGTATTTATATGTGTCACAGAAGGGATCTTCCTTTGGATTTTTCATCCCACCTTTGCAAATACATACTATTATTTACATGCATGGCATGCCGTGACATGATGTTTTGTCATGACATGTTAATTTGGCATTCAATGACGGTCAATCTTCAAGATATGTACTGTCTCCAGTTTACACTGCTCTCCTTGGACACAAGTGAATTGTGAACTCCATGGAAAAATATGCAAGCTAGCCAACAAATTAAGTAGTAGTATTTAACTATTTATTCTCTTTCTTACCCTTTTACCCCTTGGGTAGTGGTAACTCATGCAAATAAAGCTCTCCTTTTTAGGCCAATCCCTTGTGTTTCATGTTGTAATGTAAACAAAGTTTTGGGAAGATTCGAAGAACTTGCACTTTTAACCATGTCATCTCAGCATCCAATGCATGCTAACAAAACACATATGCATTATCCATCACTTGCTTTCTTTCTTCTTTTTTTTTTCCCTTTTTAACAAAGTAATCCAACTTGTATGGTTCTATTAGAAAAGCTGGAGAGGGTTGCATGCTTCTTGTTCTCTTAAGTGAGTCTTGTGTATGCAAAACCAAACAAAGGGTGTTAAAATTAGTAGACAAGGTTGTGTGTTAAAAACAGTTAGCATTTGTGGTAGAGAAAGCAACCGCAGTGATATTTAAAGGAATGGGGTATTGGGAGGGATTAGGGAGACTTAAATTCTTCAAAAAATTTCATCCAAGTTTTAAGGCTCCCACCAAAGTGGCACAGGGGCACAGTGGCAGAGTTACAGCTTACAGAGAGGACCGGCATGCATGCACAGCTCTGCTAGTTGACCAAGCTTTGACTCCAAAATGAACAAGCCAGGGAATGAGCTGGCGACACTGACGGATCAAAGTGACCACGTGACCCGGGATTGTCTTTCAATTAGATAATCAAATTTCAATTTAAGGACAAAATTTTATTAATTCAAATTGAAACTTTAATGTTAGCTAGCACTGAATTTTTGTGAAGAAAAACTAGGAACAGAGACCAATATTTGCACTTAAGTTCAAGGGTGGTAAATATATCGCTTAGATCATGGATCTCTCATGCCAAATTTAAACATAGTAATCTCATATTCATATGTTGTGTATATATTACTATATTGTACATGTTCATAATGGGGTAGTGGGTAGAGCTTGCATTAATTGGCCATAATGAGGGCATTTGAAATTGCTTCCCTTTTCCAAGTCACTCAGCCTCATGTTGTGCACTGAGAGGAATCACGTGGCATGAATATGATCCCTTCACTTCCTAAGTTAGACAGCTCTCGTCTTTCACCAATCACTAACTCATAGAATTGTTTGAATCTTCATTATGTAAATATTCCTTGTAGGCACTAAATGGCTTTGCATCCCAACTTCTGTTTTGCCAATCATGGGGAGGAAACAAACGCAGCCTTCATAAATCAACAAGTATAATCATGCATATTGTTACTAAATACAAATATATTATTATTTTTTTTCAAATGGCCCAGAGAGAGAGAGAAAAGGGTCATAGTCTTGAACTCTCGGACCAGTGTTTAGAAGTAGAATTACTCAGTCTTCAGGGCCAGGAAAGCCTGGTAACATGCAGGAAAGGACACAGAGTACTAATAAAAAAAAATTAACTTTGAAGCAAAGGACATGGTTGTCACTCACGTGGTTCAATCCTTTTCAAGAGGCTGGCCTAATGGGGTTATGCCACGTGGCTGATTCCCACAAATGAAAGGCTTCGAACATGGACCAGTCAAACACATTCAGCAAATTCTTGGAGAGTAAAAGGCTGTTGGATTTGGCCTGATCTCGGTTTTGGTCTCCCATCTTGTTAGCATCTCCTTGCATCTTATTGGCTGTGATACTATCTAAACCAATGTTAATTTCATATTAGCTCTTCTATTTAATGCATGTGCTCCTTTCCCAATGTCAGATCAAAAGAAAGAACGAACTAGTTGATTCTCTAGTGTTTATTGTTTCGCTGCCAGATTCAATTGTGGCTAATTTAAGAGAGTCAGAACAAAAAAGCTAGAGATTTCTATAACTAAAAAAAGTTTGTATTTTGGTCACAATTTAGAGAGAGAAGCAAGTGATCAGACGGGTGATTGAAAATATATTGAAAAACTTATAAACATAAAAATTTAACAAATTTTTAATTAATAACATTGAAATTTTAAATTGTAACAATTTTTTATATACACTTTTAATAAATTTTTAAATAAAAATATTATATTTATTAATTTTTAATTAATAATTTAAAAATATTACTTAAAATAAACCAATGTTTTTCTATTCTATGCAACAATATTCGAGGATCAAGTGTTTATTTTATGCAACGGTATCAACTAAAGTTGCGACATTATTAGGTAAACATGATAAAAGTTGGCTAATGATCTTGATTCTCATATAAGTTGGATAAAGGTTGTTATTCCTTTTAGGATTGGTCAGTGGTGTAATAGCTCCTAATTAACTTCATACGATGCAGGTATGCAAAGAATCCAAAGATTAGTTGATTGATTTAGTGGGTCAAATATTTACGCGTATATATAAGAATTGGAATTATTAGGTTAATTAAAAAATATTTACAGTTAGTAAGTTTTTATTGAGTATTTGGAAGATTATTTCATGTAAAAAGTTAAGTACATACTAAACAAAACTCTTTTTTAGCGTGCTCTTTCATTGATTCTATTGATTTCGGTCTAATAATCCATTAAGGGTACGGAAATGCACGGGCAGTGAAACTAGTTGATCCCTTAATTGTAATACTACTAAAATGTAAATTTAATGCAAATTGGAGTCATAGTATTGTAATATACTGTTCCATTAGCATCATTGAAATCCGTTACTGTAGAGAATGCTTGGGGGTAAGATAAAACAAATGTCTGAAGAAGAGTAATGATCCTTCTAAGAAGTTGCGTTGAAAAGAAAAACGTATATGATTTTTGGGAGACAGAGATGGACCTACATTTTAAATAACATCTTCCAAAAGTCCTCATGCTGTGAAGAGCCTTTCTTTCAGCCAGTACTTGCACTGTGATATAAGTTAAAATAGGGCAAGTCACGCTTGCTGAATCTATTCATTAATTATCGTGACTTTTTTATGCTTGCGCCAGTTGCATGCCACACATTAGGACTTTCTTTGATCCTCTCTCTGAGTTCCACATATTAGGCACAACACAAGTGAGTTTCTTCTTATAAATCACAAAATGCATCTGCAATAATCCATTTGAGATATGGTGCACTTATCACTGCTGATTTTGTAGTAATAGATAAATAATATCATATTAATTACCTGCAAAAAAAGTTAACTGTGACCTGTAATAACATGTCAATTGGCTAGAGCTTTGTGCATATTATTAAATGCTCCATATCACATGAAGCATTGAAGACTACCTAATTACAAATAACTAGATACACTGAAGGAATATCTACAAATACAAATGAAATATATTAAAAAGCATAGATTAAAGGATATGGAATTTATTGACATCGGGTTTAAATTTGAATCCATTTGTATTTTTAATAAATAATAAATATATTAATCAAATGATTGAATATGTTATATTATTCTAGTAATTGTCAATATAAAACTTTATGATAACTTTCTTATAACTTATGTCTTACACTTAGTATTAATCGATGATCTAGACTCAAGTTACACACATGTACTTAAAAAAAAAACTTAATTTTTTTGGGATTTTATTATACTTAAGGGGAAAGCCAATAGGTATCCACACAACTTGCATATTTGTACTAGTAATATAATTTGTTGTTGTTCTTCTTCTTAGACTTTCTCAAGGTTATTAATATTCAATTGTATTATGTATTACAAAAATAAGGAGTGGGGTAAAGGGAAGATTTTTCTAACCCTCAATGGGAGTGGGGCGAGTGCCCATTTTTCTTCCCTTACAGTAATGTGAATTGGTGGGATCGAAAAAGCAGGGAGGATGGAACCTGCCCTTATCTTGCCGTGTTTCCTGTGTCTATGCAGATAGACAAACAAAAGGTTTGAGTAAAGAAATTTAAGAAAGTAAAAATTTTCTTTTGATTCAATAATTAATTTGAAAAATTAATATAACTTGATATGAAAAATCAATATACATCTAATGACGATACAATTTTAATATGCATAGTTTAGCAATATATATGGTTCAAGTCAAGTTAAATTTTATCTTAAATTAATTAACCTGACATATTTATTAAACTATTTAAATCTCGAGTCTAATTTATTTATTTGATATAAGTCTTTTTTAAAGTTTACGATGACTTTTTTTAAAAAATATAACCTTATTGAATATAATCTTTTTCATTGTACAACCAAAATCAATTAGCTTGTTTAAAGTTTGTTTTATAGTAAAACCTTTTAAATAAGTGAACAAGTCTTCTAAAGATACTAGACAATCTAAGCATTTAAATTGATAAATAAATATATAATATAAAGACATAATAATAATAATCCCACATAATAATATTCTTAAATTATTTATATTTACTTAATAAGTTAATTTGTTAAGTCTAAAAAACTCTTTAAATTACTTAAAAATATGTCTTTTTTTAATTATACAAACTTTTAAAAATATTAGCTTAACTTATTTAATAAATATGTCGTACTTGACCTAAGAACTAGACCATAGCTCGCAATTAACAAACCGAGTAAGTTATTCCCCTTATTATTAAGGATAAATCTTTCCTGTATATATGACTACTTGTTCTTTCAGTTTTATGTTTTCCCTTCTTTTCCCTTTTATTGTATGGGTTAATGTGAAAATCAAATCAATCATCAAAAATTAAAATCACTGCACCAAGTGCTAAATTGATTAGTTTTAGGCGAAGTATCAATAACATTATATTACATGTAACTCTATCTTGACATAAATGGAAAAAAAATATTGTGTTTTTCCCTCATTTTTCACTAGCTAGTCCTGCGACTTGAAACTTCTGTCAAAGGCTGAATAAAATGCTGTACAGCCATAACCAGAATCCAGCAGCTAAAACAAAGACTGGGGGCCCGAAACTGATAAATGCAGGACAGCGTAATCTAGCTAGTCATCATCCCTTAAGAATAGGGAATTGATGCTTCATAAATCATGTCAAGCACAGAAACTGCAGAAGAGGTATAATTCAACCTGTTAGATTTTAGGAAAAGGTGGATTTAGAGAAAAGGAGATAACAGTAAATAGTTACCAAGAGATTGTATAAATAGTTACATTTTACAGTATAATGGAAATGTATGGTAGTATATTCTTAATGCTAATTTATGAATTGAATTATGCATTTGATTTATCTCACTCTTGAGAAAAGGGTAGTTGTGCATCATTCATACAATTCAATATTCATATAAAATCGTTCTGTAATAAATAACACCCTTTTATAAGTTCAGTAATGAAATTAGAAAGCTGTCCATATAGCATTCTTTCGTAGACATGAAGTTCACACACATACAAATAAAGAAAGAAAGAAAGACTTAAACATAAATTTTGCGATTAGCTGTCACTATTCAGCTTTTAAATAAAACTACCCCGCGTAAGTTTAGCCCTGTTTATTTATAAGATAAAGAAAAAACACAATTAATGTTATAAAAAATATTACTGTATGAATAATATGTCTTTTGATATATTAATTTTAATTAATATATTACCTCCATAATTTTTACCGTACTATTAACAAATTTTAATAAAAAATTACTACTCTAGTCCTTTTTATAAAAAAAATAAAGTAGAGTATTTTTTTTTTATTATAAGAAACAAATAATAGATTCAAAAAATATTAATTATTAAATTTTTTTATTAGTATCATTAATTATATAAATTACTAACTATAATATTTAATATTATGAATATTTTTAAAATAAAGTTTATATTTATGAAAAACATAAGTGATTTAATTGCTTTCTTTGGTCTAGAGATTTAATATTTTATTTCTTATAAAAAAATCGGAGGTAGTATTAATTTTTTAATATGTACTTTTGATGTAATCCATTTGTAAAATAAATGTTCTTTAAAATGCATGCAATACTTCATTATCGATCCTTCCGCCAAGACTACAAGAATCTTGAAAAACGGATTTAATAACTGAATAATTGCATGAAGATTGGAGTTCCAATTTTAAGAATGGCCAATCTTTTACATAAATGGGCAAAAAATCTGAACTCCAATCTTAATTTAACGATTCTCAAATACTACTGCACTAAATTCAAATCCAGAATCTTGTCCATCTCTGAAATACTTGTGGCACATATTTATAACTTCCAAGCTACTAACTAGAGACAAAACGATTAACAACCCATGCATTCTGAATTAATTTACATAAGTCTATACTACCATACTTGAGAGATTGCGAAAGGAAGGGAATAAAACTTCACAAAATTGAAGTCGCCATAGCTAATTACAATATAATTATTTAGTAATTAACCCTATCCAAGAAACTCAGAAAATAAACATTACAAAGAAAATATATCAATATTTTAGGTGTGGAAGATTCAATTTGCGTTGAGCAAACCATAGAATGCACAAAATACAATGCAGAAACTGAGTTGGGTTGTTTCCTTTGTATTTCCGTATACACGATTTGTACATAGATAGAATAAAACGCCACAACAAGCGATACGCTTTCAAATTTCAAAACTCACACGGGCAGCTGTAAACAGATAATAATAAGTATGCATGGGTTCACTTCGTCTGAGGTTCAGAACACCAATGTCTTCTTTTATTTATTGTATCATATTCCTTTTCTGGCACTGCATCCAATGTTATAAATTTAAACAAAATAGTAATATATGGTCTAAAAAAATATGTTCATTCAAGGTGAGTATTGTTTGGCAGTATCAAGAGTGACAATGAGTTTTATGTACGCAATTCCTACTCCATTGTTTGCTAATTCTATGCCTCAAAAACTGTAATGAGAACACGATGCATCCTTTATGGAGGGCAAAAGCAAATGTGCATATCAGGAATATCAAGGTTGCACGAACGTTTATCCTTTTATTACCTTTGAGTAAGAGTTATGCTCTACCCAAAATGCTTGCGAGCCCAATAATCAATGAATAATTATATACTCCTGCCTTTGGTGTTGATACCACTCATCAATAAGAGAGTGACTTTGGTACACTATTTATCTATGCTTAGTAAATTATATATTTTGAGATTTTTTTAATTTTATTAACATCAATTTTTAAGGTTAATTTTAAATAATTAAAAGTAGTAATTTTAAATAAAAAAAGTATTGATAACACTAAAAATATACGAGTAAAATAAATACTTTAGTTTCAGTTAAGACATATCACTTTTAAATTATTAAAATCTATCATAAAGACCGGTGTTAACATTTTTTTTATAGAATACTTTCTTTATTTCAATATAAAGCATACCTTCTAGTTATTACTTTAAAGACAACAATTAAACATTTAAAAATAATTTTTTTTATTAAAAATATAATATATAGTGTTATTAACATGTCTTCATCATCATTTTTAATGAAAAATTATGTACTAATATTTTAATAATTGCCCTTGGGACAATGGTAGACAAGATATATATAATAAAATATTAATATGAAACTTTGTATAGAAGATGCATGCATCTTTAGACTAATTATAAATTATTAAATATAATTAAAATGCATATTATAATTAATTTAAATCATATATTTTTATCAAAGAGTTATTTTTTATTAAAAAAAGACAATTACTTTTATAAATTTAAAACAAATTGATTGTTTCGCCTAACTCTATATTACATGCAGGGAAAATAAAAATATACAGGAATCAATACTTCTCGTTAAATTTGAGGATGGCTCGGTGTGCTACTGAAATAGATAGTTGAATTCCTTAGCTTAACTCTTTTACATGCTTAAAACTCGTTAGACATGGCTTAGATTCTGGTTAGAAAAGTTTATGATAAATTTATTAAAAAAATGATTTTAATAAGCTTGTTAATATATAATTTATCAAAATAATTTATTCTTTTTCAGTTTATCGAATAAGCTTCATTGTTAAATTTATTACATAAGTTATTGTTTTAAAATAATTATTAAATAAATAATTATCCAAATGCAATTATTTCTTGAAAATTAAACAGCTATCCTCATCTAGTTATGTTATATCTCTTCCCACAGTTCATCTCCTGATTTCATTTTGCAATAGGAGATCAACAGTGAGAAAACTACGGGAGCAGGAAATCAAAAACAATAAAATTTGTGATTTTTGTATTAGAACATTACACTCTTTACTAACAAATATGATAATTACCGTACATTGAACCAAACTATCCATTTAGCATTTGGAAACACTATATCTTAAGGAAAAGAAACTAAATATCTTAAGGAAGACACAGCTTTGGAAACACTATATCCCAAAGTTCTAACACACAGATGATGCTTTCACCTCAATGCATAATATATTGACTTAGGCTAGTTTCTTGCCACTCATCATCATCCTTGTAAACTCATTCAAGTCTATTAAACCATCTCCATTTCCATCCACCCCTTTGACCATTTTTTTACAAGCGCTAAGGGTGCAACTCTCTCCTAGCCTTTTCAAAACTTGTGACAACTCCTCAGCACTAATTTTCCCATCACCGTTCAAATCGAATACTTGAAAAGCATTTTTTATCTCCGTTTCTTTTATCTTACCCTCACCATTGAACATTTCCATGTACTCTTTAAAGTCAATGAATCCATCTCCATCGGAGTCCATGACCTTAAATGCCTTCACTGCCTCAGTGTCCCCAATGCCCCTATCCAAGGCCCTTGCAGCTGCCTTGTACTCTTCAAGGGAAATCTTGCCATCTTTGTTGGTGTCAAATTTCTCGAACACCCATTTCATTTCCTCTTCTTTTGGCTGGAAATTTGGTTCTGCAGTTGAAGTATCTCTTGACTTGAAGCTATTCTTCTTCGCTATATTTTTGCGTGAAAAGGAAGGTTTCCATGAGAAGCTATGACTAAACCTGAGAAAACTCAAATTTGACATGGTCTATTAATAGAACTTTGATACAAAAGATACACAAATATTTGGTTTTTGTATGACTATGAATGCTACAAGATTATGGCTTGTTTATATAGACATGCTTCCTCCTTTGGAATCCCTCGAGGCTCATCAAGATGTGGTTTCTAAATGAGAAGTTGTAGAATTTGAATAAAGACTCATTCTCATGCTAAGAGTTTAAACTAAAGTTGAGTATATTCTTTGTCCTAGTTTCTTTCGCGTTAGGAATGTGAGTGGCTCCTAATTCAAGTTGTAGATTGATAAACACTAGTTTGGTGAAATTTGAATAATTTGTTGTAGAAGGGATTGAACAAGGTTCACTCAATTAACGTGCTTGGGTTAGGTTGAAATGCATCTGTTAGACGATTCCTTTGATCTTTTTGTAAAACCGTGTATTCACCACCACGGCCACTTAAGAGTTGAATCCTATTCTTATTCCACTTGTTAATTTAGGTATGCATATGTCGAGCACGCAGTGGCGGAACAAAATTATTTTGATAAGGGTGGTCAAGACAGAGAGAGTCATTGTTGCAAGAGTAATTTAGTAAACATAATTGTAACTTATATTAAAAAAGAAAATTTTATATGGAATGAAAGGGAAAAAAAAAAAAAATTGGGTAGCCACGCTCGTTGTTTTCTTTTTCTTTTTTTCTTCTTTTGTCTTAGTAGGATACTCGTTCTCAACTCTTCAAGAAATGCAACTAAGGGAGTGAATGGAATACTGAATCACTTTATTCACACGCTCAATTTCCATTTCGAAAGGCTTAAAGTATATCTATCACTATCATTTTGACTCTTGAAGAGAAGTATAGAAAACGACTAATGAAAAAATAAGGGGGTGTTTTGATTTGAGATTGTTTTTTTAATTTTAATTAACACTTTATTTTCTGTTTTTTATTTTTAAATATTTTTATGGGATATTTTCACTTGTATTTTATTAAATCTTTGAAAATAAAAAAACAATATTTTAGTAATTGAAAATAAAAAAAATTCTTTAATCATTCGGCTCCTAAAAATCGTACGTTGTTAGAGATAAGAACTTTTCAATTTGGAACCTTTTTTTTTTCTTTCAAAAGGGGTTGAGGAGTTGGTTATAGGATCTAACATCCTCTGAATCGGAATGAAACCTTAAAGCTCCTTTTATTCTCATGGAAATATTTTAAAATCAGACCACCTATTGTACTGATCCGACTGTGAACGAGCATATTGTTAATTTGAACATTATTTTGATTCAATATATTTAACAGCTTGATCCAATTGAATAATGGCCTAAAAGTCTCCCTATTTCCATGTTTAATTTGTTTTTCAAAACATTGTCACATGATTTATCCACAGATCAACGTATGTTATATCCTCTTTTTGGTCCAGCGAGGGTGGGGTATAGGAAACGGATATTTTGCTGAGAATCGAACACACTGGTCTTATTGCGTATCCCTGCTCTTAAACACATGTTCTATCCATTAAAATACGTAACCTCTATTAGGCTACTACACGCAGCTTAAGTAATTTTAACTCCAACAGTTTTCTATTCCACTTGTGTCAAGTTGAACTAGATAATAGATATTCTAGTGACAACAACGTGATTTGAATTTCACCAAAATATTCCCCTTACCACTAGACCATATGCAATTGAAAAACTTTTTTTGAGCACTTGAACTTACCTTTTCGTTGAGCCAGCAAGTTGCTAGGTATCTACGAATATCAAAGGTAAAGTATGACACTGACAAATAACAAAGCGGTAGAGAAAGATCAGGAGCATTTAGAAACCTCTTACTAGGGCTTAATCCGAATTTGCAACAACATAAATGAAATCTTTCTAGGGTAAATAGGAAAAAGATCCCCCGTTTCTGGTTTCCCAAATGAAGGCAACCAATGTAAGCTCCCCTCTCACAGGTATTAACCATTCACTTCTTCATATTAGGAATTCAAATATTATTTTCTTAGCTGCTCACATTTTCTCGGCCTATCAACTCATGCACTTTCTACCCAACACTATCGCCACACAACAGCACACGATAACTGGGCTGCAATAAGCCGTCCAAAGTCCCAATAATCCCAATTTCAGATTAAAGCTCATCAAAACCGCGATCGGCACCCACACACTACAGAAAGAGAGTCCCAAAGTCAGCCTGGCACTCCCCTTTAGCAGATGATGGAAATATAAACAAAATGGAACAAAAATTCATTTCTCTTTTTTTTTTCCGTCCAAGGCTACTTCCTACAACAAATATGAACTGATGTAAGCATACACACTTTCGCATTGTGTTTTTGTGCATATTCCAGGCCCGACAGATCCTACAGCTTTGCATTGCAAGGATAACGGACTACGAGTGTCAAAATAGATCAATTCCATCAACCCGACCTATTTAACATCACAAATCATGCGAGTGGGAATTCCAAATTAATAACCCAAGTCATCCATTTAACTCTTCAGGAATTGTTGACTGATAGACGAGTCCTTTTTATGTAATTTGTTATATTCAATTTACATGATATTCTTAATGTATTGTCCATCATTTTTTATAATCAAATTGTTGTTTTTTTTATTCAATTTTATGAACCATGTTTTGGGGCAAGCAAATATGTATTTGTCAAATTTAAATTTTCATGTAGAAAAAGTATCTTCGGTAATCTAACATTAATATAATATAAATTTTTGTCCATGTATGTAGTGAAGGATGTTGATGATTGAGTTTTTAGGTTTCATAAGTCAAGTCGATCCACCCAGGATTCTGGGTTTGTGAAACACGAATCAAGTATGAATTTTCATTCTGGCTTGGCTAATTTAACCATGCAGCCAGGCTTAAACAGTTCACCCTGCCCAATTAAACAGCCCCACTGTTGAAGAGTGAACAATTTCCGCGATAACGAATTCTTTTACGGGTGAACAATGTTAACCAGACAAAATAATACAGTCCTAATATTTTCCTGTCTTTCAAAAACTTCAGTACTGACCGAACGGCCAATGTCAACCTAAGAAAAAAACACGACATGCGACTATTCTGATTTATGACATGAATATTAAGATGAATGTCACTGCCTGGGCGTTTCACCAACGAGACAACTTTTTACTTTCATGTTCTGTCCATTGGAAAGCCAAATATTGGACTGTTGCAGTTAGAAGAGTTTTACTGCTCGTTTGGTTAGCAACGAAAATAAATTTTACACACTACAGACACAGTCGCAAGAAAAGTTTATAGCCAATTTTAAATCACAAGGTTTTGGCATAACTTACTAGATAAGAAGTGTCACTGTCAGATTTCAGGACATTTTAACTTTAAACTTCTGCCTTGACACAGTTTACATAGCAATGTTAATGTCCAAGTGTCTAAGTTGAAATACCTTTACCCATACTTAGTTTGCTGAGCATCATAACCCATTTATTAAATTAAAATTATAAAAGTGTGATTAATGCTTCTTTCTTCAACAAAATCTTACTATTGTTAGTTGCTTAAATTCAACCCTAAGAGTTGAGGTTAACATTTTTCTATAAATTTTATTATGTGTTTGACATTTCACCTTGTTTTTAAAGTTCTCCCAAAAAAAATTACAAAAGTTGTTCCCATTAATATTTTCTTTCAAAAAATCAAGAAAGAAAATTTTGGTTGGCAATTCCTTCATATCCTCAAATACCCTTTTTATAGTGTTCAAAAATACATGACACTACATCTCTAAAAAATAGAAAAGGCCAAAAAGTTTGTCATTTCTACCAAATTTCTGAAACTCTAATTTTAAACAACCAATAGATGATGCAATCTAGCCTAAAAGACTATAATGCAAAATAATAAAAAGAAGATTAGAAGTATATTTTCTTTGCAGTAGTGACTACTCACAGAATATTCAAAGGAACGAGAGGGCTTCAAGTCTTTAACCATTCAAGAGTGCAAGCCATCAAAGCCTTTGCTTTTTTCAGGGAACATCAAAGACTAAACATCTTCATAAAATGTCAAGAATCTGCAATATGTTTAACATATCCATCCATAAGACCAATTAAAGAGCCTAAAAAGACGGTTGTACAATTATCCTAACCAAAAAGGAGGACCAATATTAATAAAAAAAAAATGTTTTTCATCCAATTATATAATATATAAGACCAACTCTCTTGCTCTGAATAGAAAGTTATATATCTGAATAAAACCCAACCAATTCAGAGCGAGATGAATAGATATGATCCTGACATTGTCAAACTCATTTGGTAAGAGTTAGCAAGCAAACTTACTTGCATTGGCATCTCTTGCATGACAATATTACTGCTTTCTTCAATACTTTTTAGAGTTACCACTTCCCCACCGACAACCATATTGATGACAATTCCATCTGCACATTAGTGAGGAATCTTAGGAAAAAAGAAAAAATCCAAACCATCACTTAACAAACTATGGAGCTACTAGCTAGGCACCAAAGAAAGTACCAGGTGTTAAACAAGTTGCCAAACGCCTTCCATATGTTTCCTGAGGGAAACACAAAACAATTGGAAAAGAAAAAAGAAAAAAAATCATAGGAAGTTGGAAGAGACGATATAAACACACAGACACCACTATCACCACACACAAATCACTAAACCAGCATTCTTCATCAATGCTAAAGGTAAAATGCAGCTAAGGTATAAAGAGGGAAGATTCTTATGAAACAAAAAACTAACTGGAGAACCCAAAATTCAAAAATATAAAGGGAATAGATTGCCTTTTCACTGGCAAGTACTAACTGCACACAAAAGCAACCTTATATAGCAAGAATAAGAACCCTTAGGATGGTCTGTGGGGTCCACCTGATCCATGTGAATTAATCTGAAGTCTATTGTTCTCGGTGTCATACACAAAAGCCAACATTTACAGTCTCACTATCAAAGGATCTTCCAGACAAGCATAAGAATGCAGACACTACATAGATTAAATTGTAAAAAAGAAGAGAAAGAAGCATACCTTCTTTGCTGGTAATTCATAGTTAATAAGAAGATGAGCATTCAAGGGAAGCTCCCCAGAAGCAAGGTGAGGAAGGCAAGCGTCTGTGACAATAATCATGTGAGATCTCTCATCTTTACGTGCCTCATCCTCATGATTAATCTGATTCCACCTTGCTGTCACGTGCCGAAATTTCTCTAAAATAAAAGCACGTTCATCTTCAGCGAGGTCACTATACTGCCACATGAAAAACAAATTCGAGCGTACAAATTAGCCACAAAAAAAATGAAGAGAAATGCTACCAATACACTTTCTAAGGCTAAAATTTATTGAAAACTAAAAAAATTGCTTATATGCCACTCTTTTTTCACTCCTAGTTTAATTATTCTCTCTCATGCTTCTGTAATTTTTAATAAATGTCTTCCTAGCACTCCTAAAAAATGAATAGGAGTTACCGTACCAAAGCATTGGATGAAATGAATGGGAGAGCGGAGAGAGAGGAGCAGAGAGAGTCGAGGTCGTCACGAGTGCTGCAACACACCACAATTGGTAAGCATGGACGCCGACCTACCAGATCCAGTAGCTCAACCACCGTTTGCTGCAATTAATCAGTGTTTTCAATAAACAAAATCTCAACCCTAACCAAACGGTTTCACAAATCGAATTCTACCATTTTGAAGTGAATCCGATCTACTGCGAGGTAGAAATGGCGCGGGTGACTGAAAATAAAGGAAAGAGAGAGAGGTGGTTACTGGTTAGAGAAGAAGGGAGGAAGCGGAATGAGAATGAAACGAGTAGGGTACCCGGAGGGTCCGGTCTGAAACGGTGGAGACGAAGCATCGATGGAATCGATGGCCATCTTCGGAGATGAGATGCTTCACCCTCGCCGGTTGCCGTCAAGGCTCAGATTTGCAAGAGGTTCTTTGCTTCAGCCCAAAATTCCCTTCACATAGTCTAAAATGAAATTCAACAAGTTCGTTGATATTTTTGTTAAGAAAAAAAATATATTATTGTAAGTAAAATTATTTTGGGGAAAATATGTTTTTAAAAAATGTTAGTAAATAAAAAGTATATATGATTGATTTTACTTATGAGATTCAGAAAAATATATATATTTGAAAAATAAATATTATCCAGTTTATTTGTATGCTTATAATTTTGTCTCTTGACTTCATTTTTTTAAATGTGGAATTCGTTTATATGGGACAAAAAAAAAATTGTACTCATTAATAAAAAGACTGATAGAAAATTTAAATCATTTCACAATTCATTGTATAGTATATTTTATTTTAATTTTTTTTTTTTACTGATAATTACAAGTCACCAGCTTCAACTATTTGAATGTGAGGGACATAACTTTTGTGTCAGGAATAATAATTCGATATTAGATTTTGTTGAAATTTTATTTTACTAAAAAAAATGTTTTAAAAGTTTATCGCTTCACTTGACATCAACGTATACTCGATATAAATTTTGTAGAGTCAGCAATATTTAAAATAAAATTTATTAAAAAAACCATCAAAACATGCATAATTTTTTTTTTAAGTTTAAGACAGGTTGGGCCAACTAAAATATTTTCCTGTCTTTACCCCCAAGAAAAAGGGTTGGCCCAATCGAGTCCGTAATATATTTTTGATTGAAATGATAAACAAGAATATTTATAATTCAAAAAAATATAGATTAAACAGCTTTATAATATATTTAATATTGTTTTATCTGAAGATTATATGTATTAGACAGCATATAACAAAAATATACTTTACAGTGCATTGATTAAATAATAGGCAAAATAAAAAGTTATGGTGTGACTTGAGCATTTTTTATGTGTTATGTCTCGATATATATCACACATGCCTTTTGAGTTTTACGGTGTAACAATGACAATGAAATGAAGTTTATCATGTTAGTTTAACATCTTTCTATAGAAACAAATAAATAAACATATATTATATGTTAAAAATATAAATTTTATTTAATATATTATTTATTTATTCAATTAAAAAAATTTTAAGTATGGAAAATAGGGGAAATTTTATAATTATTCCTAACATGGGATAATTGTTTAATTAAAAATAAAAATTTGCCACTTTGATTTATAATAACATTAAATGTTTACTTCTTTAATTAAGTAATTTTTCAATTTTAATTAAAAATATTTTTTAAAAAGTAAATATATTTGATTTTTTTTCTTACAATAGCGAATAATAAATATTTGTCAAGTATTTGTTCATGACAATGTCAATATCGTTTGGTTTAAAGACTAAAAGACATTGAGACAACGAAAATAATGAAAGACAAATATACTATTGCTTATGTGTATATATTGTGTTTGGAAGTGATAATAAAATGTTGTATATTACATTTTATATTATGTTTAGATATAAGAAACAATACACAAATATGATAGTTAAGAATAATATATATAATTTTGTATAATTATTAGGAATATTTTGATCTTCAAAAGTATAGTCCTATATTCTTAAAACTGGAATACTTGTGTCTCTTCTTCTAAAAAATACACTGGTATCCTTTAAATTTGTATCATTTATGTCCTTCCTGTCTTTATCTCTTTCCAATAAGACACTAACTAAAATCAAACATAACATACGTATTTCTATGTCTCTGTTTTAGTGTCTCTGTCTCTAAACTAAATACTATCAAATGGATGAGGTGGATCACATAAGCCAATAGCTAATTGGATAGCCATTGTCAAGTTTAATTTCAAAGAATTTTCAAATTTAAGGTTATTTATTAAATAAATTATGTCAATTTTAAGAGACAAAAATTATTCAAAAGAGTTAAAATTAACAACCTAGATTGAGTTAGGTTTAGTTGATTTTATTATTTGTAGCTTTAACATAAAAAAATAAATAAATTTGACCAACGATGGATTATATCAAGTTGGGTATTCGGAACTTGAAAACAGAAAGTTAATGGCTTAAAATTATTCTACAAATGCATCTGTTACGTAACAACAACGAGGTCATCCGCAGATATGTAAAAGTGAGTTTTAATTCCATTATTTGTCTCAACCTACCTGAAATTGTGAGCATATTAAGCTATAAAAATGACTCGCAAAGAATGTGCATTTTTTAAAAAAAATCCAACTCACCTAATTAAATGTGATAAGTTGTGTTTAACTGTTGCCATTTTTATTTTTTGTGATTTTCAAAGTTTGATAATTGAAAACAGTCAAAATATGAGTAGTATTAACTAATTAGACTATGGTGATTTGAAATTGACAAGAAAAAATAAAAAAATTCACATAAACAAACTAAAATTTGTAATTATATTGTTATCAAAAAATAAATTTATGTAGACTTAAAACGAGATACAGTAATCATATAGAGATTTTTTAACAAGACTAAGTTTACTTCAGATAAGCTTACATAAATACTGATAAGAAAATAGAGTAAAATAACTAAAATATTTTTATTAAGTAAAGCTAATTTATGCATTCTATATTTCAAAAAGTTAATTAGTTTTTTAAACAATAAAAGAGTATAAATTAATTTTAATTTATAAAAAATTCGAGTTATTTTATTTATTTATTTATTAATTTTTAAATACTTATTAAAAATAATATAATTGATTATATCACAATTTTTAATTTTTTAAAAATTAAAATGAAAATATTTGTATATTCTTATATAGTAAAAAATTAATAGTGAAATATTTTATATCTATATTTTTATTTAATTTTGATATAAATATTTTTTAACACGTATTTAAAGATATAAAAATTATTAAAGATTACAATATCAATGTTATTGTGCATTTATTTAATATCTTAAATCTTATAATGTTAAATGAAATTTGATTATATATTTTGTGATCTGCTCGTTATATAAAGGGTGTCCGGAGTGGTGACAAGCATAAATGGGAAGAGAACATGAAGACAAGAAAATCATTCCCAAGGAAGCAGTAGTTGTTGAGCGCATTAATTATACTATATGATATGATTCACTCCTCTTCTCGTATTGTTACACTTCAGAGTAGCAATTAGCAAAACCCTCTTCCTCTCCCTCTCCCTCTCCCTCTCCCTCTTCATTCAACCCTTTCCCTATACACACACCAACAACAATTCACAGGTACGCTTCCATTGCCCTCGCTATTCCATTTCTCACAAACGCAGTGACTAGGGTTCTTCCCCATTCAGATCCACCAATAATTCTATTCCCCACTCCAACAGAAATCAATTCGTTAGGGTTTTCATGCTTTGGCGGGAATCAACGTCCACCGAACCATTCACCCTGCGATGGCCAACCCTCCCGGCGCAGGGACCAAATTTGGGTCCGTGAATCTCAACAAAGCGTACGGGCAGGGACAGCAACATGGATCGGGTCGAACCCGTGGAGGAGGCGGTGCCATGGTGGTACTGTCGAGACCTCGGAGTTCGCAAAAGGTTGGGCCCAAGCTTTCTGTTCCACCCCCCTTGAATCTCCCTTCCTTGCGCAAAGAGCATGAAAAATTCGATTCCTTAGGATCCGGTGGCGGAGCCACCGTAGGAGGTGGCGGTTCCGGAAGTGGTTCTAGACCTTCCTCCTCTGGTATGGGGTGGACCAAGCCAGCCACAGCCACACTTACTTTGCAAGACAAAGAACCAATGGATTCTGTTGATGGGTTTAGCAGTGTGTATGTGCCACCCTCAACTCGATCCGGTGTGGTGGGACCCACAGCGCTAGAGAAAGCTGCGGTGTTAAGAGGCGAGGATTTTCCCTCGTTGCGTGCCACTTTGTCTTCTGCTTCTGGTGTATCCCATAAGCCTAAGGAAAATTTGAATCAGAAGGAGAAACATTTAGGTGGTGACAGTTTATACAGGGAGCAGAAGGATGGTTCTCGAGTGAGTTCCCTTGTTGATGTGAACTCTAACTTCAAGCTTTCCCGTGGTGGAGTTTGCAATGGGCTGAGTGAAAATGGCAATGAAACCCGAACTATTTATGGCAGTTCTCGAGCAATTGAGCAGGGTGGGGGGAGGCAAGAGGGATATTTCCCGGGTCCTCTGCCTCTGGTTAAGTTGAGCCCGAGGTCTGATTGGGCTGATGATGAGCGTGATACAAGTCACGGTTTGATGGAGCGAAACAAAGAGAGCAGAGGGTTTTCAAAGACTGAAGCTTATTGGGATAGAGATTTTGATGTGCCCAGGGTTAGTGTTTTGCTACATAAGCCTGCCCAAAGTTTTGACAAGCGGGTACTAAGGGACAATGATACTGGAAAAGTTTCTTCTGGTGAAGTTTCTAGACTGGACCCCTGTGTCAGAACAGCCAATAAAGAGGGGCGTGAAGGGCATTATTGGAGGAATCCATCTTTTTCAAAAAATGATTTTGGGATTCAAGATGCAAGAAATGAAAGAAATGGTGTTGGCCCTTGTTTGAATAGAGAAACAGGGAAGGATAACGAATATACCCCATCTCCTGTCCGAGACAATTATCAGGATGATCCTGGAAAGAGGGATAAGGGGTATGGTCAGGGAGGGAAACCTACTTGGCATAACTCAGCAGAATCATATGGTGGTCGAGGTCCTGAACAACATGCTCGGGATAGATTTGTTAGTAGTGATAAATACCACAGAAATAGAGTTGATTCTGTCCAGAATTTAGTGTCAAAATCCTCATTTTCTGTTGGTGGCAAAAGGCTTCCTGTTAATGATCCTCTGGTTAGTTTTGGAAGAGAAAAACGTACTTTACCTATGAGTGAGAAGGCTTTCTTGGAGGACCCATTTACAAAAGATTTTGGAACTTCTGGTTTTGATGGAAGGGATCTCCTTTCAGTTGGTCTTGTGGTCAAGAAGAAGAAGGATGTATTAAAGCAGACTGATTTCCATGATCCTATTAGGGAGTCGTTTGAGGCTGAGCTTGAAAGAGTTCAGAGGATGCAAGAGCAAGAGCGGCAGCGAATCATTGAAGAACAGGATAGGGCATTGGAATTAGCTCGCAGAGAAGAAGAGGAAAGACTAAGGCAAGCTAGAGAACAGGAAGAGAGGCAGAGGAGGTTGGAAGAAGAAGCAAATGAGGCAGCATGGCAAGCAGAGCAAGAGCGAATTGAAGCTTTGATGAAGGCTGAAGAGCAGAGATTAGCAAGAGAAGAAGAGAAACAAAGGATCCTTTTGGAAGAAGAGAGGAGGAAACAAGCTGCTAAACAAAAACTTTTAGAATTGGAGCAAAAGATTGCAATGAGGCAGGCTGAAGCAGCCAAAGGTGGTAATTATAATTCTTCAGCTGTTGAGGAGAAGATGCCAGGGTTAGTCAAGGAAAGAGATACATCCAGGGCTACTGATGTGGGTGATTGGGATGATAGTGAAAGAATGGTTGAAAAAATAATGACCTCATCATCTTATGATTCATCAAGTTTGAATAGGCCATTGGAGATAGGCTCTAGGCCTCATTTTTCCAAGGATATTTCTTCCACCTTTGTTGATAGAGGAAAACCAGCTAATTCATGGAGAAGAGATGTTAATGAGAATGGGAGTAGATCAGCTCTCCATCTACAATATCAGGAAAATGGTCACAACAGTGATAGTCCTTGTAGAGATTCATCAATTATCAGAAAGCCATTTAGAAGGAAAGAGTATTATGCTGGTGCTGGATTGATGTCTTCAAGGACTTATTGTAAAGGAGGTGTTTCAGATTCTCATTGCAGCAAGAATACAGAGATTGATTCTGATTTTCATGAAAATTTTGTTGAAAGACTTCATGATGGTTGGCCGCGGAGCCATTTCCATGGCAATCCATTTCGTCAGTTCCCTGAGCACTCTTATCCAAATTCTGAATCAGATGGCCCTTACGCCTTGGGAAGATCACGGTATTCTGTAAGACAGCCTCGGGTTCTTCCCCCTCCGTTACTAGCTTCTGGGCACAAAGCGTACGGAAATGGAACTGATCATCCTGGTCCTTCTGCCTTTCTAGAAAATGAGGTACAATATAATCAGGCAGCAAACCGTGAATCTACCATGCCATCTGGTTTTGACAACAGGTTTTGTGGACAACCTGAAGTTGTGGATACCCTGCAGTCCACCACTGAGAACAAGGACCATGAAGTTGAGACCACGCCTAGGTGTGATTATCAATCTTCACTTTCTGTTTCAAGCCCCCCTAGTTCTCCAACCCATATCTCTCGTGATGATTTAGATGAATCTGGAAATTCTGAAGAAGACAAAAGTGGCACCCTCTCTGCTCCAGAGAATGAATCTGCTGAGGTATCTGCTAGAGCTCGGAATGAAAATGTAGATTCTTCTTCATTTGTTGAATCCACTGTTGTTGTTGTTGATGATGATGAATGGACCACTGAGAATATAGAGCAGTTCCAGGAACACGAAGAATATGATGAAGATGAAGATTATCAAGAAGGAGATGATAATATTGACCTCAACCAAGAGTTTGAAGATATGTGTTCAGAGGAGAATGGATTGTCCCATATGATGGATAACCTAGTACTAGGATTTGATGAGGGTGTTCAGGTTGGGTTGCCCAATGAGGAGTTTGAAAGAACATCAAAAGATGAAGAAACTTTGTTTATGGCACAACAGGCCTCTATCAAGACTCTAGAAGAACATGTATCTTTTGAAAATGATGGCAAAGCCCTTCAACCTGATGATGATTCCGCTGCAGTGAATCATAATACTAGTGTGTTTCAGGAATCAGAAAAGCCAACTCAAGAGTTGGTCATTCAACACATCAATACACACTCATCATTATCATCTCAGAGTTTAGGTAATGTGGATGCTTCTAAAAATGTCCTGTCCACTCATAATAGTATACCAACTTCAGGTACTCATTTTCCTTATTCATCTATGGGTCAAAATCCTATGTCTAATGTAGCTGCTGCTCCAAATCAAGCTGAGCTACCCATTAAGCTTCAATTTGGTCTTTTCTCTGGCCCATCTTTGATACCATCTCCAGTACCAGCCATACAGATTGGATCTATACGGATGCCACTTCCTCTGCATGCACAGGTTGGTTCACCCCTCTCTCACGTTCACCCATCACAGCCCCCTTTGTTTCAATTTGGCCAGCTAAGGTATACATCTCCCATATCACAAGGGATCATGCCTATGGGTCCTCAATCGATGTCATTTGTTCAGCATAATATTCCATCTGATTACTCTTTTAATCATAAGCCTGGAGGTCACATGCCAGTTCACAGTGGTTCAGGTACTTCTGATTGCTTTATTAAAAATGGGATGAGGCCTTGTTCTGTTGATAATCAACCAGGTTATTCAAGGCATTTATCCCAAGGTTCACGACCAAGTGAGAATGCAGAAAATGTGGATGTTATAAAACATGGTGTCACTGGGACTGCTACAGGTTTCCAAGTGGACAAACAGGGGAGCCAAATTTTTGTTGGGAAGAACAGCACCACAGCATTCAATGCTAATAAATCAGAAGGCCTGAATCATGCCAGAGATGCATCACTTCATTCAATTTCAGAAGAGAAGGATGTTATGGAGTCAAAGCCACAATTTCCAGTACCTGGTGGTAGAGGAAAGAAATATATCTTTACCGTGAAAACACCTGGCTCAAGATCGTCAGGTTCCCTCAGAGTCAACCGTGCAGACTCCAGACGGCTTTTGAGGAAGCCCCGTTGGAACAATCAACACACTGAGTTTCGAGTTCGTGATAGTGATGACAAGAGACAGTCTTCTAGTTTGGTTTTGTCTGATCAGTTTGGATCAGATAATAAATCAAATATTAGTGGAAGGGGAACAGGCATATGTGGAAGGACTCGACCTAGGAAGACTTTGGCTAATAAACTGGGTAAACAGACAGTAGAGTCAGCTACAGAAAATTTCCAGCAAATAGATTCTGGAAGTAGAGCTGCAAAGATAACTGACGGAAAAGAGTCAATAAATAGTCTGAGCATCTCACATTCTGGACATAGTAATCATAAAAGGAACTTGTGTTCTGAGGAAGGTGTTGATGCTCCATTGCAAAGTGGAATTATATGTGTGTTTGAGCAACCTGGAATTGAAGCTCCTAGTGATGAAGATGACTTCATAGAAGTCAGGTCAAAGAGGCAAATGCTAAATGATCGGCGTGAACAGAGGGAGAAAGAGATCAAGGCCAAGTGTCGGGTTGCAAAGGTTTAAATTATTTTCAATTCCTATACATTCTTGTTACCATATTTTGTATAGAATCTTTCTTAATCACATTTATTTAATACTAGATGCAACGAAAACCCTGTTCTAATTTGCAAAATGCTGTGGCCATAGCCAATTCTAGCAAAGAATGGTTGTCTACTGAAGTAGCAACCGGTGATCACCCTCATCTGGTTGCTGCTGGGGGGCATGGAATCACAAAGGTTGATGTCTCATCTAGATTTAGTTCAAGTGTATCATCCCAACTACTAGCTCCTATTGGCACACCTCCTTTGAAAATTGATGCTCAACCTGATTTAACATCTCTGACAAACAGGTACTTGCTTTCTTGTAAGGTTTCATGTTGCCATTGTTGTGAAAAAACATCAATGTCATCTTTCCATTTCTATAGGTCACTCCAGATATCGGGTGGTGGAAAGGGCTGTGAACCTGGTGTGTTATTTGAGAGCAATAAGGTTGATAATGTTCAAGCACTGGGCTCCTGGGGTAATGTGCCAATTAGTCAACAGGTTTGAACCTCCTGCCCCAAAAAAACAGCTAGAGCCAATAGTGGTTTGCATTAAAATGAGGTTCTTGAAAGTGTTCTGATTTACTTCTCCCTGTTATAGTTTGAATTTTCAGATGTATTGACTTCATGTGTACACTCTCTAGTTGAAGTTTACAATAGCCCTTGCATATTTTGTCATCTTGAAGCTTGATTTATCGGACCAGCTGCATAACTATTTTATTCCTTGTTTTATTTGAAATTCTTAAGCACATTTTTATTGCAGGTCATGGCCCTCACGCAGACACAACTCGACGAGGCTATGAAACCTCAAGAATTTGATTCACAGGCTTCTATTGGAGATCTGGCAAGTGCTGTTAAGGAGCCCAGCTTGCCTTCCTTATCCATTTTGACAAAGGAAAAAGCATTCACTTCTACATCCAGCCCAATTAATTCCTTGCTTGCCGGGGAGAAAATTCAATTTGGTGAGCACATAAATTTATATGTAATTTTTAAGTAAAATTTTATATTATAGATTGAGATGAAATTTTGTTGCAGTATGAAGTAATATTTCTTTATATTCAGTGATTTACTGATGGAGGGTATTTAATTGTGTGTTTAGGGGCAGTGACAACGCCAACTGTTCTTCCTTTCAGCAATCGTCCAATGTCTCATGGCATTGGCCCCTCTCAGTCATCTCGATCGGACATGCAAATATCCCACAACCTAGATGGATCTAGTAATGATTGCAATCTTTTCTTTGATGAAAAGAAGCACATCAATGAGTCCTGTGGTCAGCTAGAAGATTGTGAAGCTGAAGCCGAAGCAGCTGCTTCAGCTGTTGCTGCTGCTGCCATTAGTAGTGATGAGATTGTTGGAAATGGATTAGGTACTTGTGCTGTCTCAGTTTCAGATGCTAAAAGTTTTGTAGCTGCCGGTATTGATGGTATAACAGCAGGTGAGTCTTTTTCCTCACAAACAAGCTTTTATTTCTCTTCTGGGCTTACGCCAATATAACTTAGATCAATCAAGATTCTGGATCTATATTAATTTGTACTAGTTACTATGGCAGGAGTATCTAGTGAACAACAATTAGATATTCAATCCAGATCCAAGGAGCCTCTCAGTGTATCTCTTCCAATAGATCTTTCTCTTGAGACTCCTCCAATTTCACTATGGCCACCCATACCAAATCAACAAAATTCCTCCAACCAAATAGTCTCGCATTTCCCTGGCGGCACTTCTCATTTTCCTTTCTATGAAATGGGTCCTATGATGGGTGGTCCCGTCTTTGCTTTTGGACCACATGATGAGTCTGCATCTACAGCACAATCGCAGCCTCTAAAATGTACTACGTCGGCATCAAGGCCAATTGGAAGCTGGCATCAGTGTCATGCTGGTGTAGATTCCTTTTATGGTCCTCCAACGGGATTTGCTGGGCCCTTTATCACTCCTCCTGGAGGAATCCCAGGAGTCCAGGGGCCGCCACCCATGGTTGTTTACAACCATTTTGCACCTGTTGGACAATTTGGACAAGTTGGCTTGAGTCTCATGGGCACCACCTATATCCCACCAGGAAAGCAGCCTGATTGGAAGCACAACCCCCCATCTTCTGCCACAGGGGCTGGTGAAGTGGATATGAATATGAATATGGCATCTTCACAGCGAAATGCTCCTAACATGCCCTCTCCAATTCAACATCTTGCTCCAGGTTCACCACTTCTGCCAATGGCTTCTCCTCTGCCCATGTTTGATGTCTCTCCTTTCCAGGTAAAGTTTTGATGTGTCTTGGGGTTTTAACTACGCATATACTGAAACTTCTGTTTTGTTGCATTGCGCTGTGCAGCAAATATATAATTCTTGTAAGGAATTGTCTTTTTAGTTATTTATTGTTCAACTTGTGCAAAAAGATAATGAAAACAAACCATCGATGCATGTGCTTTATTTTAGCTGTTTAGCTATGTAAATTTTGTTATTGTATTTAACAATGGTGTGAAATTTATGATGCCAGTCTACTGAGATGTCAGTACAAGCACGATGGCCACATGTTCATAGTTCTCAGGTGCCATCCATTCCTCAGTCAATGCCATCGCACCAAGGAGTACATACTTCTCAGTATAGCAACGGACCTGTTGACCCGCCATTAAATGTCAATAGGTTTACTGCCTCTCAAACTTCGACTTCTGATGTGAATGTTAACCATTTGCCGGATGAACTTGGATTAGTTGATCATTCAAACTCCACTGCTGCCAAGTTGTCAGCACATAGCATCGTCAGCAATACTCCACAGCAAAACAGTGTACCTACTCAGCAGCAGCATGATCAGTCATCTGGATATACTACTAATTATCAGAAAGGAGGCAGCATTTCGCTGAGAAACAGTTCTGGGGGTGAATGGTCCCACCGTAGAATGGGATTCCAAGGAAGAAAACAATCTCTGGGCGCAGATAAGAGCTTGTCCTCCTCAAAGGTTAAACAAATTTATGTGGCTAAACAGACTCTTAGTGGGGCATCAACAGTGTCATGAGAGGATTTGACAAAGAAAGACCGAAGGCTAAAATAATTTGGTCCGTGGTAGAAATGAAGTTTTGAATAGCTTTCTATATTTTGGGTAGGGAAGGTAGAGTTACGATTGGGATTTTTGTTGGCTACATACATCCAGATTGTATACCGTATACCTTGCTGCGCTGGTCTTCCTGATGAAGGGTACGAAGTGTGATGGAAGCAGTTCTGTGCATAACCTGGGAACTGGGGATTTATTTTGGTATTTTGCCCCATGGTATTTTGAAATGGGGTATCAATCAGAGGGCTGCGTCTTTCGTTTTCTCGTGATGCTTTGGAGCCAGCCAGTATTTATTTGGGGGTGTTGGTGTATCGAGATCAGTGGTTCCAGACCAAAAATAAAAATCAGTGGTTGTCCTCGACTCCAAGTATATTTATTCTTTTCATTATTAAAAGGAAAGAGTATCATCAGTTTTGAGAAATGTCACTTTTCTTTATGAATATTTTTTTCATTCGCCTTTGAAATTTAATTACAAATGACAATTCTGCGAATAATTTCAAAGACAATAATATAGTTGATTCGTAACAAATAATACTTACTCTTTTTTGAGTATTTAAATTAGTACCTTTTAAGTACAATTATATTAGTTATGAACAAAATTATTTATGCCAATCACTGATAAATTTTTTTATCCACTGCATGAGGTTCAATCTCTCTAATCAACCCGTTAAAATTATTTTATTAAGCTAGTTGACGTTATTCAGAGTTGATAACTTCCAGTAGCTTTAATTGCAATAAAAACTTATTTCATTGTAAGCCTTTTAAATACAGTAATGCATGATTTTGATGTCAGTGAGTGTAGGCATTATTTTTTAAAAAAATTATAAAAATTAAATTTTGAATAAATTATATAACAATTGTTACTCTGAAAATATTTGGGGGTTGATTGAGGATGCACTGCCCAACTGTTCCCATTTGGTACAAATGTGAAAAATGAGTCGGAACACCGAAATTTGGCCACACGTCAATGTTATTCATATGCAATACAGAATATTAGCATTGGGGTCATTCATTAAATTTGCACAATAGCGAGTACAACTTCATTTTTTCCCTGTACTAGTAGTCCAGCCAAACAAAAGATTGTTAACTACCCCAAGTAAATATTACTAGTAACTGAAGCTAGTTCTGTTCATCATCCTGATAAACTCCTCTGGACTAACCTCCCGATCATCTGCACATTTTAAGGCCAAAAATCAGATATCTCACATTCATAGGGAAAAATTACAAAGAGGAAAAGCAAAAGAGAAAATGCAACCCCCCCCCCCCCCAACCGGGGGGGCAAAAAGAAGAGAAAAAATAACTAGCATCAGAATGAATTAATGTTGCTTCGTAGCCTATTATAATTGAATTACCAGCTGTTAATGACTAAACCTCTATTATAGAAAGCTTTAAACTGTGTTTCACAGAAGGCAATGTTTTCTTCCTTTTGCTTTTAAGACCTCAGGCTGGGTTATTTTCATTTCTGTGGTAGCATAAATTATACACAAACAGGTAATAAACCTATGCTATGTCTAACGTGTAAGCAAATAAGGCTAGATCACTAAATCTACAATTCAAAAAGAATGGCAAACATTTTACTGTTCCTTTACCCTTTATTTTACAGAATTTGTCATCCATCAGACATGAGAACATAATACATTGACCTCCCCTGAGAATAATGAACCCAACGTAAAAACCCTATCTTCCAAAAAGTACTCTCAAAAATGTTAAATTTTTATTGAGCAGTATTCCCATTTAACTTTTCCAAACACATATACCACTTTGTATAATATTTTTGGTAAACCTCAGGGAGATTAGTGTAACAGAGGCAGAATGACAAACTTCTCATTTTCAGTAAATCACGTGTACGATTTAGTGAGCTCTTATCGTGAAATTTCAAAAATAAGTAAATGAGAGATGATTGCAAACTTTTTCTTTATAATCTTTCTTACCTTCATATTCTCCTTTAACTTTATTTTTCATTGCTCACATATGTATGCACCTGGTGTGCTCAAGCTAAATATATTATCTGGAACTCTTTTTGTTTTGTAAAGGGGAAAGGGAGCCAATAAAGGTTATCATTCCAATTAAACAATATTACAAAGGCTAAGCACATCACTATTTCCCACACATTAGCTTTGCTAACATGGAAAAATACAGAAAGCAACCTTAAAGCATATATTTGTGGTACTTAATTATGATCAATGGTACATATACTTCAAATGCAGAAAACTGCCAATTAGAAGTTCAAAGTAAAGACAATATTTTTTTCATATACAAACAACATTATGTCAGCATAATCTTAAGCACACACATCCACACCCAATTAACCAAAGAATACAAATCAGCAATGTGAGAAGTAAAAGTTCTTCCATAAAATTAGAGAGTTGTCAAGGATATGTTTGGGATAACTTACTATCTTGGTCTGCTTCATCAACCATCTCCTGGATCTCTCTTTCTGTGAAATTTTGACCTAGCTCTTTTGCAATGCGCTTGATGTCTGCTACAGATATCTTTCCCTGAATTGACCACAGGCAATAAGAATCAATAAGTACAGGTGAAATATAGCAGTGAATAACCTTACGTTTTTATCTTGATCAATAATATGGAAAGCTTTCATGAGCTCCTCCTTAGTGTCCCTTTCTCCTATTTTGGCAGTCATCATGTACTCAAATTCATCATAATCAATTGCTCCACTGCCATCCTTGTCCACATCCGCTATCATTTGATTGATTTGCTGAGATGACACAACAGGTTATTTATTAGAGATGCAAACAGAACTCTAACAAGAAGAATAGAATCAGGAAATCCTGGACAATTTGTACAAAAATCACTGCAATGCTAGAATCAGATGTCATTACAAGCAATCAACTCCCTAACCCAGAAAAAGTATAAGAACAACCACAGGTCCACGGGTAAATGTTAAAACAATAAAAGACGAGGAAAGCTCTCCCTCAACAACAGCCACACAGAGGAAATCATTGAAATTAGTAACTTTCAAAACTTCATTCATTATTCAATCATAAGAAAATTGAATGTATGTGAGTACTGGTATGCAGATAATACCTCTTCTGTCATCTCAAAGCCAAGAGCCCTGTCAATATAAGATATGTGTTACATAAAGAACATAGCCAAATAATATGTCAAACATTTTAAGCCTGTGAATGACAGACAACAATACCTCATGGCAACATTCAGCTCCTTGGCATCAATAGTACCTACAAATCATCGAGAGCATTAATTTAAAAAATAATAATAAAAACAAAAACTGTTCGATCATAGTGTTATTTTGATGGTAAAGTAAAGTGTATATAAAAAACCTGAGCCATCGGTGTCGAATAATTCAAAAGCTTCCCTAATCTCTTGCTTCTTCTGCTGCGTCAAATGATGGCGTCCTTTTGGTTTATTGTTGTACCTCCTAGAATCCCCTCTATACAGAGATGACTGAATAGGAAATTGCATCAGTTAATGATTTTTTTCATTGTTTGGTTCTCAACCCTAAATTTGATAAGCAAACCAAGAGGATGCCACTAACTTAAACAGATATATGAAAAGAAGAAGTGAAAATCGGCAAAAAATTGTAAATGCTAAACTACGACTAATGATTGTTATCGATTTCATTAAAATAAATAAATAAATAAAGCGCAACAGACGAAAGAGGAGCAATTGAATTGAATTGTGAATGAGGTTAAGTGAATAAAGAAATAGATAGATTAACAAAGAAATGATGCTACCATCGTCGTTTGAGGACTGAAGACAACACCACGATTTCAATTGGAACGACGAACAAGGTCACAAAATCTCCCTCTGCACTTTCCGGTAATTCAACGAATGTTCTACAACTGCATTTCAGGTTGCGCGTTTTCCTTTTTTATTTTAATGGAATCAGACACAGTTTGGGCCATACAATCTTTCGGCCCAACAATGATTGCCACTTTTATATCCCTACCCATCACATCAAATCTTTGTCATTTTTCAATGTAATGGGCCTCCGTTGATATAAATTCTGCAAAAACATAATGAATTTAACTTTTTGCCCTCTGATGAAGGACCAAAACTAGACAAAAAGACGAATGACCAAAAACTATCATTTGACGGAAAAAATTATGTCGGATTTACAATCTAGTAAGATGGAGGAATCTCAAATAAGATAATATGAAAAAGGTCAATTTCACTTCACTTATCTATTTATTTTGAGAGTGAATAGTGGCAGAAATTAACTAACTTTGGTGGGACCCACTAAATTATATTTCCGTCCTGTTGTGCAATAAAATGGAGCACGGATTGGAAAACTTTATTCATCTTTTTTGCTTTATTTATTTTTATTGTTAATTGTTTTTATAGCTAATGAAGTTACAGTCACGATCTTAAATATATGTATTCATCAGAAATCAACTTTTTAATTATGTATTCTGGAAGTGAAATCAATTTTACCAGCAAAAGTACTTAAAAAAATTAAACGTATTTTTATTAATAACGTAACTAGTTATATATCTTTTCTTCTTTATTACGGCACTGGCTTAACAGGGTGAAGGGGAAGCACTAAGAAGCTACATGTGATAGCGAGGATAAAGAAATTCTTATTCCCTAAATAAGATATTCATCGTTGGATGTATTGGATCTAAATTCTTGGGTGAGTCATGTGGTGAAACCTACCCCCATCTAACGATGGATATCCTCTTAGAATCTAAGTTAATGCAATAAAAGCATAAAGTAAAGGAAACAAAACAATGACGTTGAATTATGTCATGCCGTAGCTTCATTCATTGGCAATTTCGGACAACTTTGCTGGCATTGGACGTCCTGTTCGCTACTTATTCGAGAAAATCCGATGCTATTGCATGCGCATAATTTCATATACATATCGACTTGTGACAGCGGTACTTAGCTCAAAAGCTATTTTCTCGCACGATACATCAATTTATTAACTAATAATCGAAGACAAATTTATAAACAAAGACACAAGATCTGCTAAAATCCCACTACCTAAAATGCTAATGTGGTAAGCATATAATCATCATTATCATAAAACGTTCAGAGCAAGATCAAGACCTATGTAAGTGTTTTTACATAATCAATAATGGTAGAAAAGTATTACAGGATCTTAAAAGAAAAAATACATCACGGTTAAAAAAATAACCTGTTTTACGTCTTTTTAAATATATATATATATATATATATATATATATATATAACTGCTAACTCTATTAATAAACAGTTATTTAAAATTACTTTTTATTTATTTAATTATAATTTAGTTCTTAATAATTTAATTAATTACTTATCGGTCTCTAGATAAGTCACATGCTCCTCAATAGATGTTTACAGCTTCAGAAAGAGAAAAAATAATAATAAACATAATTAATAGTGTGATATAATATAAATAAATAACAAATGTTAAATAAGTGATCTTCAAATGAAACAGAATACTGTCAAATAACCACTATATTCATTGACATAAAAAGCCACACGTTGATCATCATCAGTATCTGCTTTTCCAATATCAGTATACATAGAAACATTGACCTACATTAAAAATTACACAGCGTGGGTATGTGGAGGAAGAAGAGGTTAGCTAGCGTATCTGGTCTTTTCACCCAACCACGATTATCGCATAGCCTTTTCCTTTTCCTTTTGCATTAGCCTCTTTTGCCTTTAATTGCGTTTAAAAAAGAAAATTGCTAAATGGATTACGACTACGTGGCGAGTTAAGGACCTTAATATTGTTCAGTTGCAAACCTTGCTGCTCTTCATGATGACATTTACGGCACCAAAGTCAACAACGGTCTTGGACTCCTTAACGCCAGGCCCACCAAAGCCCATTGGGTCTTCGCGGGCCCTCTTTTGGTTGTTTCTTTTGTCTGGAGAATTCTCCTCTTTTAACCAAACACCGAACAGTTTCAAACTCTCTCCTCCACCTTCACCTACCGCGTTTTGGTTACATCCACCACTTCCTTGCCGCATGATGCGTTCGATTTGATCGGGACCCACATTCAGACGCTCCCTCAGAAACGCTATTAATTCATCGCACTGTTTCCTCGCACGTGCCAGCTCACAGCTCAGCGTTTCGTTGTCCTTCTTCAGTTTCTCGTTCTCGCTCGATAGTTGATTAGGGGCTGTCGTTTCCACTGATCCCGGGTTCTTCGAACCGGAGGACGAGGTAGAGGTAGAGGTGGACCCCACGTCATCGGCGCCGGATTTTGATGGAGAGTTACCGTCGGCAACGGATTTTCCCGGTTCCGGCGGTTGTGGTGACTGTTGAGGCAAGGCCTTGCGGCGTCTGATTTCGGAGAGCAGCTCCTTCTGGCCTCGCTTGAAATATTCGTTTGCGAATTCCCATTTGTCTGGCACGATCTTTCGGAATCCCTGCAAAGTCAAAAACGTCGAATTTATTTCCAATAATAATGATAATTTAATTTTTGACCTTTTTTTCTCCTTTCCCTTTTCGCCGAAAAATTTGAACCCTCTTTGGGTTCTTATTTGCAATAATAAAAACTACTGAAAAATAATAAAAGTTGATAAAAATGAGCGTAACGATTTTTGGAACTTAAAAACACAAATCGGAGAACCAGACAGATAAATGTTTGCTTAGAAACAGCGAGAATAAATTGAAAATTATTGATATAAAAAAAATTCTCTCTTTTTCTTCCTGTTCACGAAGATACCCATTTGCATGGTTTAATATAAAATAGATAAATAAATAATTTTTTATTTTCTTTCATCAATTTCAAATTGTTTTCTTCTGCTTATCATTTTCTTTTCATTCATCTCTCCCGATCCAAAAAAGGCGTGAAACACTTCTTATCTGAACGCCTCATTATCCCTGACACACTTGTTTTTCCTCCTTATCCGTTCTACTTACGATCTAGACAAACAAAAAATTGTAAAAAAGAGTACCTTAAGTTGAACAAAAATATTTTCAAGTAAGGAAAAAAATAGAATTAAAAGGGAAGTGAAAAAAATAGGCATTGATAGTTGATTTCACACTTTCATTGTCTATTACTACTCTTTTATCGCATGAGAGTTTTAATTTCTCCAAAAGACGTAATAATCAATTTAAAAGTTCCATCAAACCATTGAATTAATTCATAATTGTAATCTAATTATTTCAATAAAGATATGTATCATAATATTTTTTTTATATACTATGACCCTAGAAATTCAAGCTAGCACGGAAATCAACCAAATCAAGCAGAGTAAATAAATAGAAAGAGAGTAAGCGATTACGAAGTAAAAAGCAGTGGAAAAGGAAAACATACATAGGTGTTAAGCTGGCGCACGAAACTGGAGAAATTATTGTGCTTAAAATAATTAGGAAGCAAATCCTTAGCAAAATCTGCATGTTTCCACACCACAAAAGTGTTGCCACTCTCACTCCACGATATCACCTCATCCGTCCCCGGATCATCCACCAACTGATACGTCTTCGTCAAAAACGGCGCCGGCACCGATCGTTGGGACATTTCTTCCCGATTTGCCCTTTACAATTCTTTTCTTATTACTATTAACCCCCTTCCCCAACAAAAAAAAAAGAACAACCTTTTTGTTCAATCCGATGTAAATACTTCTAACTTCTATGGGAAAAAAAAAAAGGAAAGAAAAAATAGTGAAAGAAGAAGCTTAATTAGGGGGAACAACTAAAAAGGAGGAGAGCGGTTAAGAACTCCCAACCCCAGCAATATAATCCAAAAAGGAAGAAGGGAGAGTTAACCAATAACGTATTGGGTTTCACGTTTGAATGCATATGGATCCACGATTTCTTAAACGTTACTGGTTGATCTACGTTTAGTGGGTTTGTAATATGTCTCGAAACAGACGCTGAATTATTGGAAGGATTTGTGAGACGATCAGAATCCATGGTTCCAACCCTCGAAATGAATTTGGGTGACAACTACCATTACTCCCCACACAAAAGGAAAGGGCAATGAGTGATATTATTCCCCTCATGGATTCTTGAACGGTACTCTTTTATAACAACAATATTCCAACCCCAAGGGACGTGCGTGGGTTCTAGAATTTTTGAGAAGCACTAACATCCAATGTCAATTTGGACCAAACTAAACCCAATCCACACGGACGCAATTACAATTTCACGCCCCAATGGCACTTTAGTTTAGATAACACAGTGGATAGCGACAGGGAAGGCGAGAGAATTACACACGCTTTTCGCAAGGGTCGTGGTCGGCTTTTTCCCCTATGAATTTATCACAAATTTTCTAAACCGAAGCTTCTATTACATTTCCCCTTTGAAAAACATTTTATTTGTTTTGCTTATTTTTTATGATGCATAAGACAGTGCGTTTTACTTTATTTTAATGGACGGACGCGTGTGTTTTAGCATTATTAGTGAGAAAAGGGAATATTAAGGAGGAGAATAATAACAATAAGATAATTAAGAATAATAATAATAATAAGTAGAGGAAGCGGAACGGGAATGAGTAAGAAGCTTGACGAAGTGGGTAGAGGGGGTTTTTCTTTGCTCTCACCTAACTCTCCATTTCTCCATTGCTTCTATTCATCGTTATCGCAGTTATTTTAATTATTATAGTTATGCGTCGTGTCATCTTTCGTCAATTGGTCGCCCCCCTTTAGTTCCTCCATTTTCTTTGTTTTAGATTAGACCTTTCTGCCTCTTACGACCGCCCAACAATTGTATTAAAAAAAGTATGGACAACGGAAGCAAAAGGAGAATAATGCGATGCATCTACGTGACTTTTATTTGTCCGTTACTTTATTTTTATTTTTACATTATCTCCTCCCAAAATTCTCTTTATAATTGTCATAGCAAATAACTGGCACGATTGGAGTTTGACACATTGTGCTCACTGTTCAGTTTCATTTGTTCATGGGAAATTAGCCTTTGATTGTTGTCAGTTCAAGCAAGGAGAGCATTAATGCCTTTATAGCTAAGCTAACTGCATCTTATTTATCCGTCTTATTCCAACCACGTATTATTAAACAAGTTAATTAGTCTACTTTAATGATAGTTATAGTTATGTGCAGGCCTCCCGCAGCTGAGCGTGACAAAACACCTCTCTTAGAAAATTTTTCATTTGTTATTTATATATATTATCAATTCAAAGACATTTTTAAGTGTGTTTGATGAGATATTTAACCTTACAGCTTATTCAATAAAATTTGAGATATTTTATAACCAAATTAATTACTTCATTAACTGATGGTATTTTTTCATACTATGGTTGAAATAGCGTTAAGCTACTAATAACCTTTTATTAAATGGTAAACTTTATATTGATTTAGTGGTGTTGTTATACTAATTCTATAAATTAAATTTTAGATAATTTAATCATTTGTAAACATGTAATTTACCCTTTCTAATTTAATTAACATAGTACATGTTGAAATAAATTGACATAATAAATATTAATTAAGTTTTAAATTATAAAATTTATCATTTGCAAAAAAAGTATTAAAAATATAAATTTACCAACACTTGTACGTATACTTTGTGTGCGCTCTCAGTTATATATACTTTTTAGAATACGCGTATTTAGAGTGGGCAACAATAAGTATAATAATATTTTTAATTTGTACAAAATAGTATATAATATTATTTCTTAATTTTTTGTCCAAATTAAAAAAGAAGTTTTATGACCCACTAGTACAGCGCACGTTTTACGTGAAAAATGTGAGTCTCATTTTAGGAAGAAATCTTCATGAAAAAAATAAAATTAAACTTAAAGTTGCAAGGGATAAATAATGGGCATGTAAACGTGAAAAAATAATAATAAAAAAGAGTATTTACTGCTACAAAATTTAGGTAGAAAAAGTAGTACTATTGATTGAATAGCCGAAACTGCGACAGTATTTATCTTGATGTTGAAGTCAAAAAGTGCAGTAGGAGGTTAGTATTGTCAATGATTCAATCCAAGTCATTTTCAATCTGGGGAGTAACATTCTATGCATTCGTTAAAAATTAAGAATGTCCAATCAAATCGGTTATATTTAGATTGATGCATTGTAAGCTAACAAAAATTTAAGTTGAATTGCGGTTAGATTAATCTAGTTATTAATTACAATTTCATTAACCCAACCTAATTCACTATATACTGAAATGTCATGTTGGTTTATTCATAAGCTTACTTTAAAAAAATACCCCTTTTAATATTTTCATACTATATTATATAATATTTAAATACAAATTAATTTATCATCGTATTATATATTATAATATTTTTGCATTAATATATTATACATCAATGTTTAATATTTAATGAAATTCATCAAAAATGCTTTTAAATAAAAACTTAATATTAAAATGTATTTCTAAAAATAAAATACCCACAAAAATTATAAAAAATGTTTAATAAAAATAAGAAATCAGGTAACCTCACGTGGCGATTCAATTTCTGGGTTGAACTTAATTCAATTAGTAAATTTTTCTGTTAGTTGTACGAAAATGATTAAATTATAATAAATTTTTAAATATAAATTAAAATATATTATATTAATTTTTTACTTTTAATTTCATTTATAAAAAAGAAAATAAACATCTTAATTATTAACAATAAACATTTTTTTAGAAGTAAAACTCAAAGACATTAAATTTTAAAATTAAAAATGCACAGTATAATAATAAGTAAGATACATTGTAGTAAATTTGTGAATTAAGATTGTAAATTTTAAATAATTTTTAAGAATAGTTGTTATGAATGATAGCTCACATTTTATAAATAAATGTAAATTTACTTAAGATTGAGTCTGAATTTTTAAAACTCAAACTACACCGTAGATAAGACTATTTCAATCAACCTACCAAACTTATCTTAGTTTAACATTCATGTTGACAATTGGATCTTGGTAGTAAGGTATACAAATCGAGTTGGCAAGTATTTTAATTTAAAAATTAATTTTTTCATTTTAATCATTTTTTATCTGTCTTATTTTTGTATTTTATCATATTTTTATAAATAAAGTATTACTTTAACAGTAGAAAATATCATTTTTTCTTTCGTTTTGAAACAATTTATCTAAACTACAGTTTTTAATCGTTTCTTAGTTATCATATTTGACAAAAAATAAATAAAAATATTTTATGTGATAAATAACTGTTACATTTAATAAAAAGAAATAAATAAAAACAAAATGATAGAATATTCAAACAAAATAAAAGTTGAAGTTAAATGATTAAAATTTAAGATTAAAATATTAAAATTTGCCCATACAGTGTAGTTTGAGGGCACAACATGCTCATATATGTTAAAACATCTACAAGAAAATTAATAATTTTATTAAAATTTTGTATTTCAATAAAAAGTAAGAAGCTTCAAACAACTCATGCACGGTTAAAAAAAATTAACATAAAAATTTTATATCAATTAATAATTAACTGATTTAATAAAAAATATTATAATTTTTTAAAATAATATAAACTTTTTAGGATCATTTACCAAAATAATATATGTAAAAAATCTTTTTTATGTTAATTTAAATTAAATTAATATAGAAAGTACCTTTAAAAAATATGAAGCAAAAAAAGTAAAAAATATAAAATTTTTGAGAAAAATGAAAAAATAAATTTAAATTTTGAAAAATAAATTTATCTATTTCTTCTTCAAATTTTTTATTCGATAAATCTTAAATAATTTTATAAAATAGACATATAATTTACATAAATTAATTTTTTTGTTAAAAATTATATATTTTTTTAAGTTTATAAATATAATATTCCAAAATTTATATAACTTTTTAGCTCGATTGCATTTAACATGTGTAACAAGTACTTTTTTATGTATGTTATTTTGAAAATTTATATAAAAATAAATTTAAATTTTATATTTTACATTAATTTTGTTTTAAAATTGATGAAAAATATTACTTTCTAAATTGATTATTTTATAATCGATGTAAAATTAATTTAAAATATAATATTTTAGAAACACGTGTCATTAAAATAATATAAATATAAATTTTTACTTATATTTTAAAAGTTTTTTAAAATTTTTTATTACACTATTAATAAATACAAAATTTTACTTATATTTTTTATTATAAATTTTTATTTATATTTTCAAACTCCTATTAACGCAGTTAATTATATCTTTTATGTTACCTTTATTTTTATTAATTAACTAGTATATAATATGACAAACGTTACATATTTTTATTTACAGACGTAATAAATATTAAATATTAAGTAAATATTAACATAAATTGACATTCAACATCACTGTTAATAACATTAAAATTTGTTGATTAAATTATTAGAAAAATATTGACACATTGACAAGAATAATACTTTATGGATTAATTTTACTTACTTTTCTCTCATCTACTAGATATTGTATCTAATTTAACATTTGCTTTTGTCCCGTTTTGAACTGACTTGAATACCAAAAAGCCTAATAAGTCTTTGGCTCGTCTAAGTTTTTATATTAGTTGTATTTACATTAATTATTTAATTAATATTAAATGTGATTTTTAAAGAAATAAAAGTAAAATTTGCCTTATAATACCCATGTTTAACGGTAGTTACGAAAGTTGGCACATCCCATTATTGATACACAATAGCACGATTACATACTGTAACAACAAACAAATACGTATCGAATTATCAACAATAGCAGGTGATGCCTCCAAAGTCTAAAGCAAGACACGAACAAACTACCTACCCACCAAATAAACCCATGATAATTACTATTGGGCACAACAACCCAAACAAGGAAGAAGACAAATGATTTTGCAGACAGAAGGTTTAGTGTGATATATTGAAAACATATAATCAAAGTTTGTTGTTAATCATTAATTAAGTTTAGTTAAATCTCAAAAAGAAAATACCTGCGCGCAATATGAAAGGTAACAAATAATATTTATACGTTGATTTATTTTTTATTTTTTATGAAAAGACTAACTTAGTACTCATCTTTTTAATATTAAGTTAGTCTTTCTATTAAAAAAGTTAATTTATAAATATTAATTATTACATTT